ATCATGGGCCGATACCGTACTTCATCACAAATTCACTGCTGAGTTTTTTTCCAGCAAATAGCATAGCAAATAGTCTGGAAAAAGTCAGGTTGATTCATGTATTTTCAGAACAAATTATGAGGAACATCTCTCCTAGACTTTTGTTGTTGTTGTTAATATATTTCTCTTGAGAAACCTGGTACCTGGCAAACTGAAATCTTAAACAAATCATAGACTATCCGTTTCCTTTGAGACACTCTACCCAATGAATGTATGTGAAAGACTTGTTCATATTTAGGTTCATCAATAATGATGAAACAGGTCAAGGTTCAAAGATTTCAGGAAGCATCTTTAGGATTACAGAGGGCATATCAGAAGATGAGTTTATTACATTAATTATGGCTAGTTTAACAATCAAAGTTTCTCTGCCATTCAAAATTAATATCTGCATTATATTCAGATAATAGGCAGGTATGATTTTTTAATATGTGTGTGCCTCTGATTCAGCATTGGCTTCTAGTGATTGTCTCAAGAAGTCTCTTTTCTTGGCAAGATTTTGGAAGTACTTTACCATTGTTTTCTTCCTGAGGTTGATAGAGAGGAGATAAAGACTGGCCCCAGATTACATACAGTAGCTGACTTTGCCTAAGATAAAACCAATTTCTAGCATAATTCCTGTCATTGACATACAAAACAGAATGTATTTACAAGGTTGGGATCAGTTTAAAATAATACTCTCCTTTTAAGCAGAAAAATGGATTTATTTTATTATTTATAAATAAATTGATTTATTTATATACATGGAATGATGGCTTATTGTACAAAAAAAATCTTTTAGGTTGCTGGATCTTGTGAGATTTGTCAGCAAATTACATAAAAATGGTTGCAAATAATGTTTGTCAGTCAAGCGGTTTATGCTTTATTATCAGTTCTTGGCAAGCAATGCTGAATGTTTTGTTATTGGCATGACTAGCAAACTTATGGCACATGATGAGATTGCTTTGTTTTACACAAAAATTGATGCAATTATGCAGAATCAGGTTCGAATGTCAAGATTTTCCTGCAAAGTTTTCTCTCAGATCAGTACTTGGCCTAAATAAGATGCTTCACACTATGGAGGTGATAGTTTGTTGAGGGGGTGGTGCAATTCTGCATGAAAAGGTGCTTTATGTCACCTCAAGACTTCATACAGCAGTGCTATAGCCAGGCGAGACCTATGGGCATGCAAAAAAGTGTCTACGGTAATCTGGAATGGAAAATAGGCACAGATATTTTACCTCTAGAAATACTAGAGACCCTAAAGCAACACAAAAGGAATACAAAACAGTGGACTGTTGTTTGACAAGCATATTCAAAGGGTTGCTTCAAATGAAACGTCATCAAGGTGAAACACCAAAATTTGCATTGTGAATACTTTCCTGTGAAGGGTGTGTAATGTTCAAAAATATGGTGCCAAGTTATAAAAAGGATCAGTTGGGGAAGCCAAATTCACTTAACTACTGTGTTACTAACTTAACAACTGCAGTGATTAATTTAACAACTATGGCAAGAAAGGTTGTAAAATGGGGCAAAGCTTACTTAGCGTCTGTTTTGTTTAGAAGCGTAAGTGTTGGGCTCAATATGGTCATAAGTAGATGATTACCTGCATCTCTTTCTCCAGCACCAGCATTCAGACCTCCAGCGATGAGAGTCTTAGAAGTATAGTAGTATAATTTCATTCACAAGGATATATGGCATAGTAATACATATAAATTCATTTCTATGATAATTATGCAACAATTGGGAATCCAAATATATTTAAAGGCAAATACTGTTATATATTTTAACTTTGATTTTTAGGAAAGGAAATATTAAAATAATAATTGACTAAATAACAGTTCAAAACAACTCTGGCAATAGAATAAATCCATTGTACAAGTTTACTATTTACAAAGTCTGTACATTACAAAGTAAATCTGCCCCAGAGATAACCCTTAACTGGCAATCTGGAATGTGATCTATTTATTACTGATAAATATAAATTATGTCTCCTTCCCCTATCTAATTATTATACTGTCCTCAGTCAAACTGAGAACATAATACTGTGTGGCAAATCAATGTTTTTTCCTCATTTTTACACCAATAATCTGTTTTTATAATAAATGGAAAGAAGATGCATTCCTTGTGTTTACCAGAAATGGGAAACTATTATTTTATAACTATAGAATGCACTAATACGATTTTCTTAGCTAAGTATAAGTATGCACTATTTATGTGTACCATGCACACAAACATTTATTTAAAATTGCTTGATAATGCATACATATGGAATTGGGTGAATTTTCAATTTGAAATCATGATAAGCACCTTATTAAAAAAATAGCTGAGAATGGCAAAAGGAGGTAGACCTACGTCTGTAGTTTGATCAGTTTAAATTCTGTAAGTTACGATATTGCAGATTCTAAAAAATGGAACTCCTATATGTATTTCTAATCTCCCAATTTACATTCCTTTGCTAAATATGTAAGATTTTAAATAAAACAATAAAAAATATTTGTAAAATCACCCAAGCAATTTCCATTTCCAAGATCTACAGATGGATTTTTATTTTGTTGTTGTAATGAGAAGCCAAACTTCTTCCAATGAAAAGGCAACTTGTTAGCAGCAACAGTTTTTATTGGAAAAAATAGAGTGAACTGATGCTTAATATTAACTGCAAAATGGGAGCAAAACTTGTGAACATTGCATGTAAATTTATTTCTCCTGAATATGAAATTGGAAATATTATTTTTTCCATGATTCTTACAACATTCTTCTGAAACTTTAGTCCATTCTTCAGTAATTGTACATATAAAGGAAATTATTGTTAGGTATGCATTTTCTGATTAACAGCTTGTTGGGAATCAGGTGCTTTACTGTGAGACTGTAGCCCACAAAGCAGTTTATTATTATTGCCTTTTTGTTCTGAATAAAGAAATCTCTTAAACCAGATTGTATTATAGCTGTGTATTTAGACAAACTCTCTGATACTTACAAAAGGTCCTATTTTATACTGGAAAAATATAATATACAGGAAAAAAAACCAAAATAATATTTTCATGTATCCCGAAGATGTATAGAAACACGAGAATTTTCTAAATATTATTAATACAAGATAGAATGATAAAGCCATGTATAAACTGCTTGTGTAACCACATTTTATAGAGAATAATCTTCTATTCGAAGGCCAAATCTGGTTTAAAAGACAACAAAAAGGGAAAGTAGCAGCTAAAATCATCACCACCTAAGTACCAGTCTCCTTCATTATGGTGAGATGCATTATATTTCTATATATCTCTAGATTTACAATATATAAATATAAATTTGCATGTACAATTTGCTATGCATGTTTGTCTTCCATTTAGACAGGAAATAAGTGACCATTCTAATTTATAACCCCTAATGTTTGTGAGGGTTTTATGGTCATATTTCATCTATTGGGGAAAATATTTTAATATATGAACATTTTAAACATTACATCAAATGTATCTTGTAGATTTAAGAAAAATACCATTCCAAAGAATTAGATAGTGTCCAAGAATTTCAGCTGTTTTCAAAATATTGAAATATCTGTAATGACCTTTAATTTTAAAAAGAAAAGCAAGCAGAACATTTTTAAAGTAACTAATTGTGATTAAAAGAAGGGAAGCATTTTATGCAAGAATTCTTTGTTTTAAAAAATGATCAGTCTTCATAAAGCCAATTCTCATAAAGAGAAAAAAAAACCTTCACAGTATTTCTGTTGAAAACCCTCTTTCCCTAGTTTTGAAAATAAACATTTTAGAAAATCAGATTTGCTATAAATATGTACAATAAATTAATCTTAAGAAAATAAAATCTTTATAAAATCTTTATAATAATTTCCTGAGCAAATATGTACATCGTAAAATTGACTTCCAATAGAATAAATTCTTACAGAATGGATTATTTCTAAAAACTTCACCCTAATTCTCCGTAGTCGACTTTCTGATAAAGTGACCGTTGAAATCCAGTATTAGTTACCAATGCTTAGCAAAGTTGTCATCTTTCATAGCTTTTACAAGCCAGTCCCTTTCTTTTTCTTCATCATAATCAGAATCACTCATATCACTAGAATCTGCAGCTAAGAGACGGGAATAATTAATCCTTTTCTGTCGTGGTAATTTAGATTGAACAACCAAGAACAAAACTAGCCATAATATTAAGGTAATGGCACATGCTCTGTAGAGCATTGCTAAACCAAAGCTGTTCACAACAAACCCTCCTGCAAAGCTGCCTAAACTGGCTCCACATCCATGAGAGAGGCCTTGAAGGACCAAGTGCAGAGACCTTTCTGTACCAGGAGTGGCAACGTCGTCTGTCATCAAATTCACTGCCCACCATAATGCACCATTGCTGAAGGCGCAGAAGACCTGGATTGGCAGCACGGACCAGGAATTCCAGAGGAAAGAATAGTAGAGCAGTTGTACTGCCAGGCAACTTAATCCCAAGGCAAGTGTGCCACCACCAGAGAGAGCCTTTAGCAGTTTGCTTTTGTAGATATAGAGCAGGATTTCAGCAATCAGTCCAATAGTCACCGAGAGACCCATGAATAATTCATGACTGCCTTGATCTTGCATTTGCCAGAAAAGAAAGTTCTGCACAGTTGACCCAATAGCTCCTGTGAGGAAGATGGTGACAGCACACAGGATGGTTCGACCGTCATTTCCAATGAGGTTCAAAGCTTTGACTGTTTTATTGACATGTTCATTTTTTTCTGACATGTAAATGGGAAAGAAGGTACTGACCAGTAATGTCAGTGTCATGAACAAGGCATAGCCATAAAAATGCACTGCAAAACGTGGAATATTAGTGTTCAAAAAGCAATTCAATTGATCCACAAATATTGCAGTGCTGCAGACACCCAGAGATGCTCCTAGGTAGCTCCAGATCCAAAGGTTTTCATATCTGTCAGCAGCATCCACAAAGTCAAGGTATTCATAGAGACTGTCATCCACCATCCACTCAAGTGGTCCAGCGAGCAGCTCCCAAAGGACAACAGCACCTAACACCATAAGGAAGACCTGGTGCTCACTGTCCAAGAACTCAGTACCCTGAAGTAACTGAGAGCTTGTATCTTGGGCTCTTTCCCTGCGCCCTGATAGATTTTTCAGTACATAAGGCGCCTCTGTAACAGGTAATGGGATTGGGTAAAATTTGAAGTTACTATTTCTTCTTGAGTCATTTTTGTCAGCATTTTCTTCGATAGTCATGATGCCAGCAGTTTCTTTCAAAGGTACACTTACAGTAGTTGTTTCCAAATTTTGCTCTGCTGGAACAATAGCTTCCCCGGAAATACCAGATGTCACACCAGAAGAAGCATCTATGAATTGCTGTGGCTTTATATCAACATCATTGCCACCTTGGTTTATTATAGGAGTTTTTATACTTTTCATTTTGAATGAGGTATACATTACTGTTGGTTTTCTCCTAGACTCTTGGTCCTTTGAGATCATTCCAAGTGATTCTGTAGACCATACTTTGTTATCGGCAAAAGAGTTTCCATTCATTGCACTCGGATGATTCATATTTATATCAGGCACTTGCGTTGTAGTCAGTTTAGTGGGATTCTGGCTCATGTTGCAATATTTATAGATAATATCTTTATTCACTGGTGGAATGAGTGTAAGTAGCAAACCTGTTCCAACTGAGCAAAATAATGATCCACTAATAAATACTTTCCTTTTATTGTGGGTTTTTGATAGATAGGAACATAGTGGGGCCCAAAGAGAAGTGATTAAATGTTTGAGTCCTATTATAATCCCTACTAGAGGTGCAGTCAGCCCAAGCTGCCGAAAGTAGAGAGTTAAAAATGGGATTGCACAAGCATTTCCGGCACCATAAAGAAAATGGAAAAGACTAGCAAGTGTAAGTGCTTTGTTTACATCCCATTGGTTATTTGTACTCATGGCTTCAGAAGCAGTCTGTGTTCCCACTTTTGCCCTGCAAATTAATAAAGCAAAGTCAGATTTAAAAAATAGGACAAATATGTTGAAGTTTTCTTAATTTGATATGACTGAACATCACTACTCAAACCTTTAGTGCAACTATAAATACAATAGCAATAACATCATAACTGGTTTGTCACAGAAAAACATTGTCCATAAGATACATTTTAGGAAGTCATGAAAATAAAACCTAAGTTCTGGATCAAGAAAATATATTTTTTAATGTGTTGATTACCTTAAACTATAATCTTCTATACACTTACTTGGCCCATTTAATTTATTGATGCTTATTTCAGAGTACTGTAGATAAATAGAATTACAGTTCTGTTTGATTAGAATTACCTTTATTCTAAGCTTTTTTCAAAGTAAAATAAAGGGCATTTCTTATATAAAAAGAAGACAAAATTGTTAACTTTTAAAATTCAAAGGGACGCTTACATACAGAATTGCAACAAAATCCTTTTTAAAAAATAACAAAAAAGCTAACAATCCAAAACAGTGTGTGTATGTCTGTATATGTATGTGTGTATAAATTTAAAATAGTATGAAAGAGAGGCATCAGTCACCAGTAATATTGTTAAAAAATGATACAGAATGTGAAAACTAAATAATATTTCAAAATTTATAATATATGTGCTATAAAGTAAAAATTATTTTAGATGAAAAATGTTACCATTTATGCTGGAAAGTGTTGTATTGGGATCCAGTGCAATTAATGACAAACATTGCATTTGCTATATATAGTATATAAATTCATATCACAGGGTACTGAACATATACAATAGCACTTTTTTGATAGACACATTTTTAAATAATTTTAAGAGTCAAGTTACTGAATTTATCTATTTCATTAAATAATATATATTTTAGAAGCTAGGATTGGAGAAAGAGACAAAAATAAAACACTTCAGACTAACTTGTATTATCATGGAAACAAAAAATGAAGATAAAAGAAATAATGAGAGATAACATTATAAATAAATATTTCAAATTTTTGATTATCATTAGCTTTGGCATTAGCACAGAATTAGGATTCTAGAATCAAATCAAATATAAATAATACCAAGCTCCCATATCAGTCAGCAATAGGAAATTGAATAAGAGCCAAAATATTAAAATTACAGTTTTACAAAATGCTTTGAAAGTGAATTTGTAATCCACATAACAGTTGATTTGAGTGTGAAACAGCTATTTTCTTTCCAAATTGACTGTATCCATCAATTTGGAAAGTTTTAGTACAAAACAAAATGTTTTAAGCTCAAGAGTATTTTTCCAGCTCAAAACATTACCATGATCCTGTTATTGCTTTTCAAATTCGAAGGTCCAAATCTGAAAATTTTTACACTACCATTAAAAAATAGTTTCCTTGATGGGTACAGCTGGGCCTGATGATAATCTTAAGAATGAAGCATTTTATAATGTCTAGTGGGATAGAAAGAGAAGATGCCAGTTGAGACCTGTAAATCCATGATAAAAAGTATAAGGTGTCTGTCAATCCTATGTGAGTGGAAATAAATTCAGAGTTTGGTAATAATCTATTCTTAAAAAACACTATTTACAGCATTATTCTGCATCTGCTACAATACTACTTTAATGCCATGCCTTAGAAAATGGTATAATAAAAATGCCAGAAGTCCTTCTTAAAAGGCTCCTTCAAACAACAAACATAAAGATGTCATTCCTATTTCAAAACTAAATGGAGGTGGGTGGGTCAGAGTCAATTGTGTTTTAGTTTAGTGGAAATTTTATATAATTTTACCCTAACTAGAGAACAGGTAATATCAGAAGCTTCTATTCACATAGGATCACATGAATCAGAACAGAAGAATGACATTATTTCCTTTGTAGAGGAAAACAATAGAAGTCTTTGTCCAGTAACAAATATTGAACTGTATTGGTAACTGTGAAGAAAATATAGTGAGATATAAATATAGTAAGGTATAACAAAACCACTCTTCAATAAGAGCAGACAATATGAACAATTTTGTTTTCAGAAACTACTGGTATATTTATTCTACAGGAGGACTGTGGAACACTTAAGTGTTCATAGGCACAACCTGTCTTTGTGGTTTCATGTGACTTATTAGAAATTGCTTATATTTTGTGAGCGTCTCATCAAAAGCTTTTGAATAAGCACAGCAATAATCATGGGATGAAAGAAACTACCTGATTATAAACTAGTTATAAACAGAAAGTAAAAATTGAACTACAGTATACATGGATAAGGAAGTAAACTGAAGTGCAACTGAAATTAGTGTTTTACAAATATTGAAAATTTGGAGGAAACAGTAAGCTGGCCATATTTTCAGAGCCAATTTGCAGAGCCAAACACAATTGTGAAGAGTTCCAGAAGGCTTTCTTCAAATTGCTTGAATGAACCAATCAAATAACAAACAGCATTCAATGTAACTATGTAGAAAATAATGCCCCGAAGGCTGAACAAGGATATGATTTTATCTCCTCCTCTAAGAACACCAGGACTACGGTCATCAAATAAACCTAATTAGAAGGAGACTTAAAACAAGCAGAAGAAAGCATTTCTGCTGTGCATCATAAGGTCTGTAATTCATTACTGCAAGATATGACAATAGCCACTAATTTGGATTGATTTAAAGGAAGATTGAAAAAAAAAATCAGAGAACTGGTCTTACAAGTCTTGAAGATAAAACATTGCATATAGATTTAATATAGTAAGCCTCCAAATAACAGTTGTGGGATAACAATTGGGATACCTTTTCTTTATGGGTAGCCATAAAGAATAGCTAGATGGCTATTGCTTTAAGAAAATGTTGGATTAAGTTGGGATCTATGATCTTATAAATATAAGAACTAAAAGTAGCATAGCTGGGCTGCAAAAGTCCAGAAGATTAGTGCTAATGTTTTCTGTAGCCACCTTCCAGCATCCTCTGGATTGTTGCAGTGCAGATAGTAGATGGATGGACTTATTTTTCAATGTTTATGTCTGCCCACTTGCCAGGGGACTTTGAGCAACTAACAAAGGTTAAAAACATAAAGGAAAAAGATAACATAATAAAGATAATAAAACATGATTATGAGTGCCAGATAGATAACAACTCATAATAGTTGCCACACATTCATATACCATCTTCGATCAGCCTATTGAGGAGCAAGTAGATCTTGTTAAAGGTGGCCATGTTGTGGCCAACCAAATTTGGGGGCTGCATGCTCCATAAGGAGATGCTGTGGCAGAGAAGATAGGCCTCTTGAATCACATCAGGTGACATCAACTAATTGATAGGATGGAGGAGGATGTCAACCCTGCTGGAATTTACAGAATGAGACTGATAATCCTGCAAATAATCAGATTCCAATTGTAACTCCAGTTGGGCCATTTATATATAAAAACCACAGCCTCCACATTTTATGAAGGCAGCATTAGCGTCTACATAAAATTTAACCTTGTGCCACTTTCGGTACAAATACACACATACATATATAGACATACACAAAAAGGATATTTGAGAGAACGATAGGTTTTAAAAAAGAGGGGGCATTTTGTTAGAAAGCCTTGTCTAGCCAACCATTTAAAATAGTCCTTGCTGTATATTAACAACCATCTATTTTAATGGCAATAATATTGCTTTTCATCTTTCTAGGGGGGGGGGGAACTAAATGGCTTTGAGAATCACTGCGATAGGAGGGTTGCTATCTAGATAACAGTCAGCCCATTTTCTCCTTGTTTCACGAGGCCGTGAAATACTGATTATTGATGCCGGTTCTGGTCATTAATAGCCCATGAGACCTTTTATTCTGCCCCTGAGTGAAGGAGCCCCCTTGGAAACCTGGCCCTCCACCCGGCTCAGCACCAGCCGCACCCACAGTCCCGCCCCACGCGGGAGGCTGCCCCTTCCCCCACCCCCACGCACCTCATCTCGGTGCTCGCGGGGAGCTCCCCTCCTCAGCTCCGCACCTTGGAGACGTTGCCATGGCAACTTCTGTAGTCGGTCGCCTCTCCGGCGCTGAACTCCAGCAGCCGACACGGGGCCTCCCCTACCTGAAAGCAACGGGCAATCGGCTTCTTCCGCTACACTAGGCGGCCTGCGGTCCCGAGCGCGCCGACTGCGCATGCGCCGGTGTACCTGTCAGAGCGTTGTACACCTGCTGCCTCTGCACAGCTGCTGGAAAGCTCCCTCATCCTCCGTCGGAGGGGGAGGGACAAACCGTTGCTAGGATACGAGGAATCATTCTGGGAAGTAGGAAAAGGCGCCCGGCCACGTTAACCGCCTTCCTTGGCCTCTCAGGCGCCGAAGACCAGCTTTGTCTTCCTTCTGCCTGTCGCTTCTTCTTCCCCTTTGCAAAGTCCTCCCTCCGATGGTCGCATAGTTGCTCTCGGGATTTGAAATATAGTATACTTTACGGGGCTCACTCTAAAAGTAAGCGCCCCTTGCTCTTAAATAATTTCAAATTCTTGCTCGTTGGGAATACAAATAAGGACGCATTGGAAATAAAAAGACTTGAAATGGGCAGAGAAGCGATATTTGTTTTACTAAACATGTATCTTACAATTCGCATATATCCTGCAACCATGAACATTTTTTCTCAGAGCAGTTGAGTTACATGTAACTGTCATTCAAATCAGTAAAAATGTAAATGGAGCATGGATAACAAGCAACGAAGTAGGACAAAGGTTTTACTGTGAAACGTAAAAGTTTCAAAATCTTAGAACAACAGTAACAAAACATGGCACCATAACGATGCGCCCTTGCCAAGTTTCCCAAGGATATCACATCCCAGCTCAAATGGAGACGATCAAGTACACCTCATTATATTGTCACAACCACCGAGCTGTGAATATATAAATTTAAATTAAACATAATTGATAGGGATTATTACCATTTTAAAACTGGTATTTAAAAGCTTATCTTCTAAAACCAGTTCCTATTCTAGAATGAAAATGTCTTGCAATCCTGTCGACATTCCTAGTTCCCAAATCTTTTTGGTGGAGGTGATATGTTTATTCACTAGTGCAATTTACTTTTATTTTGAATTGATGTAACTACTGAATTCTTTAGAGAAAAAAGTCCCATAAAACTATATTTCATAATATTGCATAATAAAGTGAAAAAATACTAGCTTTAAAGTTTCTGCTACTTTGCCTTAAATGAAGGATTCCTCCATGTGATCCTTCCTTCCTCCACCCAAATTCTAATAACTCTGGAAGCAATATTGGATCCTTATATCTCAATTCACTGATTATATTGCAACAATTTATAACCTCCAATTGTCTAAGGAAGAAAAATGACAAGAACACATAATGTTAAACTTTTTAAAACGTAATTTAATGAAATTAAAGACTGCCACTTTCCAGCAGATGTTATAACTATACAAATAATTTATAATGTATTTACACAATGTACATATCCATTTAATACAGATAGAACTCAATATTCAAAACAGTCTAATAACTTTTGGGTTGTAAACATTTAGCTTCAGCACCATGTTTAGGAAACCCTTTAATACATGCTTAAAATTCTATCTTTTATTTCTTAAAAAGAAAGCAGCAGCTCATGAAAATATTAGTTTTATATCCTCTGTTTTTCCATCAGCCACTGCTCAACCTATTTTTTTTTTTTGCATTATTGCTCTGTTGAATGTGATCCCTTCCATATTCCAGGTTTTGTCTATTTACAATGATTATGCAATTGAAAGGAACCCTATGGCCATACCTATCTATCCATTACTTACAAAAATAGAAAGACAAAACTGTATAAAGACTGCTTTTGAGAACTCTCAACATCATGCTGCATAAAATTTGCAGTCTGTTCCTCTCATGTAAACTATTCATGTTATCTATAGGGAGAGTGTGTGCTAATTCAGGTTTGAATAGAAAGCAACATAAAAAGTGTAATAGCAGTGGCTGCAGAAAGCAGATAAACTTTCGTAATATCCCTAAAATGATCATTTTCTCCTCTTGTGATATTCATACTTTATTATATATATATTTATTTCTGTCGTTTCATTTTACTGGTAGTATTATTTCCTAAACTATCCTGAGGACCCAGTGAGGGCCAATAAGCAAAATGAAAAACAGAATATATTAAGAATACTGTAGGAGGCACGAACATACTCCTGAACTTTATTCAACTTTGATCATTTAGTCGTCCTGTTCATCATATATAGGAATGATCCCTTCATTTATAACTCCTGTGTTTCAGGATAGTCACCTACGGTGGATTTCCCAATCAAACCCTCTTCAGCAACCTAATTCAGGTATGGTTATCTGCATTTCATGAAATTACAATTCCCAAAATCATCAGGACAGCTAAATAGAGTGAGTTTTATATATTATCACAATTTGTAATCTGTATAGTAACAGATAAATAAAATCACAAGTAGATGGCAGCAGCCAGCTGAGCCTGGCTGATATTAAGAGCTAAACAGTTTGCTCTGTCAGTTTTTAGATGAGAGGGTTGTCAGGGAATTCCAGAGTAGACTAAAACTGCAAAGGTGTAGTGGTGCAGGTAAGACCCTGAAAAAGGCAGTGACAAACTATTTTTGTAACACTGCCAAGAAAACTGCATGGATTCACCTGTGATAATTCAAGGCCATATTTATCTGTATATTAAAACATTTAACTAGACACAGAATGTGACTGGAGAATAAAGGAATTTTAAAAAGAGACTGAAATGAGGCTGAGAAAATCACAGGACATAAAACAAGATCAAAACCAAGGGGCCCATAGATGCTGATAGAAATGGTTAATTTGTATTACTATGAAAAAGCAAAAATTGTGGTTTGATGTTAATGCTTTATTTTACTGCAAAGAGGGAGGTGGAAGTCAATGCTTTTTTTTCTTTTCCCCAGCTCTCGCTTCTCTTCCCTCTTCTCCCCCCCCCCGCCCACTTCCTTCCTATTTACTTTTATATTTTGTATCTTGTCTTATAACCAAATTTAAAAAAAAAACAAGGGACCCATGATTAAGTGAGAAACAGGCTTAAGGTAACTCCAGGGCCAGAGAAAAGATGTCAATGAAGTTGGAAAACAATTGGATAGAAGGTTACAAACACATTATTTTAGGATGAAGTGAGAAAGAGGGATGAATAACAACAGAACATTCAAGTAACACAATTTAGGTTTCTTGCAATTGGGGTCAAGATGTCCAAAGCAAGGAGAGATGCTATGCAAGACTTGCCGAAATAAATACTAGCTTCCTGGGAATGTACTGAATGTCCTGAATAGCTCATAGATAAGCAAAAGGGGTCAGTCAGAAATAAAAGCAGTCATTATACAATTTACAAATTTTCTTGTTTCCTTGACTACTATAATAGCAATAGCACTTAGGCATATGCTGCTTCACAGTGCTTTACAACCCTCTCTAAATGGTTTACAGTGTCAGCATATTTTCCCCAACAATCTGGGTCCTCACTTTACCGCCCTTGGAAGGATGGAAGGCTGAGTCAACCTTGAGCCTGGTGAGAATCGAACTGCCAAACTGTAGGCAGCCAACAGTCAGCAAAAGTAATCACCACCGTGACCCTTATATGATTATATGATAAGAATTCATGCACACATTTGTTTAACATTCTTCCACTTATTTTCTAATGAAAGAAACATTGCGAACATTGCATTGAATCTAAATTCTTAATTTTGGAACAAAGCTTATTTATCTGTTTTTTTAGAATAAGTTTATCTGTCATAAATTTACGACAACATCTGCCTCAGCTGAGATTTAACTAAAGCCTCCCAATAAGGAATCTAATTACATTTACCATACACATGATAAAATGAAAGGCATTCTTTCTTCAGCTACTAAAGAATTGCTGTAGAAAAGGAAACACAGTATAGTAGCTTAAATATTTCATACCTTGTTTTCTTTTGCATCAGAGCTCACTTTCCTTTATCTCATGCAATGTGGTAAGATCACTGATTAAAGGAGAGGGGGGATAAAGAGGTGCAACAGTGCTTTGTCAGTCTGTGACAGGAAGCGACAAAGGCCAGACTAGTGAAGCCCTTATTCCCCGGTTCTCAAAGGAATGCAGTCAGTCTGGCAATATTCTTGTAAACAGGTGGTCAACAATAAATAAACTGCTTTGGTTTATTCATGGAGTTGTTCTGGTTCCTTGCGCCTGACATTCTATTGCAAAGCTACAAAATGTTCCTATATTGGATGGGATCTTCTTTTTTCTATTGCTAAAAAGCTGTCTTGTTCTTTTGGCAATACTTGTTTCTTTTCATCTTGACCCTTCTCTTTCACTGGAACAATTCCTAATGAAACTCAACAAAAGATTTTGAAAAGTTGGGATTGTCAGCTTCTTTATCGAATAATGCCTGCAAAAGTGTTGATGGGTAAGAGTAAAGACTTAGGTAAGTATTTGGCCAATCCAATATCATCATCTTCTTCCTCTTTCAAGTTGGTCTGTTTTGTTCTTGATTTCTGCAAACAGTAGCTGGGTTCTAGGCAGGGAAACACTTGAATACTGCAAAAAAACAAAAACAAAACCCAATACAGTTTCAATTACTAAATACCTAAGATACATGCATAATTCTAATGTCAAAAATTCTTTTGTGAGCCCATATCATTTAAAAATTGGGGAATGTTGTTTAATTTGCAATCCATGTATTCTAAGCACACAATAATAATTTATAATTTATAATAATATTTGATGATGAAGTTGAGGAAAAAAATAGGTATCTCTTAGCTAGAATACGTTAGCTACAATTCTTTTCAGTCATTTTTTCCTAGTGAATTTGGTGTAGGGAGGCACTTGTCAACAGTGACATGTAGTTATGTAAGATGAGTTAGGATCTTACACCCATTAATGCAGGTAGGCCTCACCTTCTGTTTAAAATTGGGACCTGTAATGCCATGTCACTAAGCAAAATGCCATGTGACAATGCCGGATTTATGTCTTCTTTCTGCTTTCAGCATTAAGTAAATCACCATGGTTGTTAAGTGAGACATCACATGACTGTGACTTGCAATTTCACTTCAACATTATCTCTAATTCTGACAAATCATGTGACAATGAGACTGCAACAGACATAATTGTGCACTGATGTTGAAGTGCCCAAGTGGCAATTGCATGGCCATGGGATACTGTGATGGGCAGAAGTGTGAGACTTGGATGCAAAGCTGGATTTCTTTCAACTGTTGTAACTTCAAATGGTTGTTAAACTTGGTAAGTGAGTAAGTGAGTAAGTGAGGACTAACTGTACTTGCAATGGATATAATTTCTGTGATAATCAACAGCCTAGAATGTCTGATCAGAACAGCTAAGCATACATCTCCGAAGTATTTTTAATTACTTTGAAAACGTAAAGTAAATGAGAATGCTTTTTAGGGTGATTTGCTGTACATTCTCATACTTCAGAAACTGACCAAGAAGAATCAATAATTATTGCTCATTAAAAAGATTACCTGATAACATTCTTATAGGCTCGCCTGGAATCCTTGTCAAGGAACACAGTAAAAGATCTTTGGTCTGTACTTCTGAGACTGATGTTGCGCATTCGTATAGTATTTGTCATTAACTGAAAGAAAATGAAAGATGTTCTGATTATAAAAATTGGACTTCAGCCAAACCTACTGTATATCTAATTAAAGATGTGTATTGAAATGCCTTCCATTTTTAAGCATTTTCTCAATACACCTAAATAATCCATGTGTTGGGAAATCATAAAATGCAGTGTTAGAAAGCTGTCCTTCATTACAAATAACCTGATGTAACACCGAAAAAATATTATTATAGTTTCCTCAGTTTAAAATAATATTATCTACTCAGGGAGCCATTAATGGATTGGAGCTCTAGCATTAAAGGTAGTCCTTGACATATGACCATAATTGAGCCCAGGAATACAATCTTAAATCATTTGGATCATAAGTCAAGGCACCCACATGATGAGAAGAAATTTTGTGGCAGTCATTAAGCGAATGCCATGGCTGTTAAGTGAACCCATTCATTTGAAAGTGGGTTAAAACATTGTGAATTGCAGTCATCTGATTGCAGAACATCACAACCAGTCATAAGTTAATTGGTGCACAAGAAGCTAATCATATAACCACAGAGGAGGGGCAGTGTCATTTATGATGGCCAGGGCTGCCTTACAAATCATAATACCCATTCTGTGGCAGTCATAATTTTGAATGGTTGTAAAATGATTGGTCATTTAGAGAAGGTGGTTAACCATTTTCACAACATCATTCCCTAAAAACAGATTTTTTTTAATGTGGCAGAAAATACCAGAAATTCTGAGGTTTGACTGGAAATAGTCCTTGTTAAAGGTTTAATGAAACTATTTGCTTTATATCACTCAATAATATATTAAATAAACAGTTCTTAGCTAATTTTTCTTTTTCATCATTACCTATATAATAGCTTCAGCAAAACAGCTTGTCTCTGAACGATAACATATAACCTGGTAAGATTTTTTTTTAAATCAAAAGCCATACATTGAATATTCTTGGAAGAATCACATTTTATAGTATAATATTTAAATTATTTGCTATGTATTCTATAGACGATTGTGAGATAGGAGCAGGGAGCTTTTTTGCTTTAATAATTTAATAAAACATTTAATAGGCACAAACTTTAACCAGTTAAAGAGAAAGTCTATTTTTTTAAGAACAATGAAAAAAGGAAAAAATAAAAGAGCACAAATTGCTAAACCAACTGAAATTCTAAAAACTCTAATCAAGCAACATCTCCAATAGCAAGCAGACACAAATAGCAATTTAGCAATAGACTGCATTTGAAATACAGTTTTGCAAATTCCTGATTTACCAAACTAATCCAGAAATCTCTCCCATAACTTTTCCCCTAGTATTGATTAGCATTATGGCTTCTATTCCAGAAAAATCATAGTACCACTTACAGAATATGATCGTCCTGAGGTTTTTATGACTTCATCAATATTTACAGTCAAGCACACTAGATCTACAATGCAAAAAAATGAAGAACTAATGAGTATTGACCTTGCCCTTTCCTCCTCTTCACATGTCTAGCGGTAGTAATAGCCACATCCTAATTTAGTTTATTTTATTCTACTGTTCTATCGTTCAAAAGTTAGAATTCTCTGGATAGGATACAGAATTAGTAAACTAAAAACATTAAAAAAAATGATACAGCTTGGACATACTGTAGTAAGATAAAACTAGCAGAACTAGAAGAAAAATCAATTCAGTAAATAAACTTATAAAGTGACGCAACATTGCCTTTGGGACTTGAGGCTAAGTGTAAAATGTATTTATATAGCCGCGTTTATTATCTATAATTCTATTAAGAAAGTGACCATAAATCTTTTTACAAACACAAGAGAAAAACACAGTAAGAACAGTTTTTATAGATGTGAGTTTTTATATTCAGTAAGGAAGACACACGCTGGACTTTTTAAAAATAAAAATGTATAGGAAACATTCTATAGAAATATTTTTCCTGCCTCTT